CATCAAATCTGAGAAAACTTTTGTCCCCCCCCCCCCCCGAAATTCAGATTCGCCTCTATATGATTATTAGAAATTTATAGTTCCATTATAGCTCCAAATTTCGAGAAGACTGTATAACTTTTTATCACATTTCTCAGTTTCTCAGGAAAACGATGCGCTATTCCGAAAAAATAACAAGATTTTGATTCCAAGAACGTGCAAACTGAAATTTGATTACTGTTCGTTAGTACATTTTTAGCATCAATGACTAGAAGTTCTTCGAGGCGAATTCCTTGTAAAGCTTGCGAACAAAGTTGAAATTTCATTTACTAATGATTGAATGAGATGTTATCTATTCCGTATCCAAATGCTAGCTGGTTTTAGTTCCTCTTCAACTTTCCATCGCTCATATTTCATCTACATCTTCAATCGAAATCTAATGCACACTGAAGAAACCAATAGTCATATCGTAAATCATCTGTGCGTGACTTTGCCTAATTACATTGGCGATCCTTATTTCGGCCATAACAGCTTCCTCTTAGGAAATGAAACAACGGGATGTGCTCGAAATTCTCATAGCTATATAAGCCATGGCTCGGCACAGGTGGCTTGTAAGCAAGCTGAATATTGTACGTTTTTGAGGGTTTTTTAGGGTTTAGGGTCAAAGGGTGCTTTGAAAATTCGCGAAAGTCAAGGGGGACTTCGTTTTTTGCATTTTCCGAAAACCACCTCGTGCAGAGCCGTGATATAAGCTCTCACAGATCTTTTAAACAAGGGAACGTCAAAGCTTCAGGAAAGATCACAAATGGGTTCAAGATTCAATGAGATAATTTCCTCCAGCTTTGTATGTCCTCAATTACGCCTTACCAGTACCCTTACTACTAATAAAATTCTCCCAAATTGAAGTTATCTTTTGAGGATTCAGTAACTCGAATCAGTTATCTTATAATTCAATGACAAAAAATATTGAAATGAAAAATGCAATGCATTATTGATAAGGATTTTTCATCTGTGGACCCCAAAATTGTTTGTTGCAGGATCTGCGAAATTTTTTTGCTCTCAGAAACTGAAATCCTACTCAGAATTTCGTTTAACTTAGACGTTGTTTTTTTTTTTGACATCTCAAGTGATGTATCTGGAGAAGAAATATCTGGCATGCCGAGCTTTGTGGTGTTGCGGCTTGTTCAATATGAACTAACTTAATACTAACTTATCAGGAGATGGATCGAATAAAAGATGACCAAGAAGTAGAAATTTTCATACGACCTGTAATTGTGACCCTATAGAAAAAGTCGAAAAATCTATTTTTCTTAGTCCTTATTGTAGAGCATGAGAAAAAAAATCCTCAAAATACAATGACGAGGGTAAATTTCAAATTCCTCCTAACTGGGTTGTATCTAGAGACTGCAGTAGCTTTCTCGATCGAAAAAAATTATGGTTAACGAAGCATTAAGAGAGGTAAGTTTTTTAGATAAAGCAATTGCCAAATTAGGGTTAGAAACGAGCAAATCATCTGCACTTCTCATTTTCATTTTTCCAATCAAATGCAGTACTTCAAGAGTAATTTACATTGAGACTAAGCCCATACCAGATCCATTCAAACTTCATAGAACCTTTACTGGAGAGCTGATGTGGCTTTCAATATGTTTTTTATCCTTTTTTGATGAATCAAGATTTTCGCAAACTAGCGAGCTCACTAAATTTTCTTCTTTTTTTGTTCCTTCCTTTTTCAAGGTGTTTTTCTACATGTGTACGCCTTCCTGTCCTCCCAAGATTTTGGCATAACAGCGCAGATTTGATTTCGAAACCAAAGAGCGTCAACAATCCTCATTCACTTTGTAAAATGTTGCTTTGTGAGAACTGAGTTTCGAAAATTTGGAATTCTGAAGATTTCTGCGTTGGTGATTCGTAAATTATCAGTTTTCCCAAAGTGAAGACTTTCGCCAAAATTTTTCGAAGATTTCAAAAGCAGCTCGGAAATAATGAAAAGGTGTTGTATTGCAAAATAATGCTGTGCCGGTACATTCGGCACAGGGCCTGGCACCAGCTGGAACGGGGCAAGCTGGATATCGTTTTTGGGGCAAAAAGCAAAGGGGGTTTCGTTTTTGTGGGCGAAGACATACGGAAAATTGGCGGCGGCGACCTTTTTTTTTTTTTTTTTTTTAGTCGACGTTTCGTTTTTTGGGGGATTTTGGGGATTTTTTTAGGATTTTAGGGGGGATATCGTTGAGGATCAAAGGGGACTTCGTAAAATTTCCCAAAAGTCAAGGGGGACTTCGTAAAAATTGGCAAATTTCAAAGGGGACTTCGTTTTCAAAATTCCCTGGTGCCAGCTCGTGCCGAGCCCTGATTCGGCACCTCTTTCACACTTTTCGTAGATTACTTTTCCTAACAATCAGTCGTTATATTTTCATCACGTTCCTCGCTGTCCATTCGCTTTCCGTCGGTGGCAGTGTGCCGACAATGTCGGCACCCTTCTTTGCCGTATCACTTTACTCACTGCTAAGTACCGTACAGGTCGTGCCATAAGCATGACCTGCTGTGATTGAGTATCTCCATAGCCCAGATGCATGTATACTACCTTGTCACGCCCACTATATGGAGCATTCTACTACTGCACCCATGCAGGTCGTCTGACTCAATAAAGCTCTAAGCTTACGTCTAATATCACAGCGGAGCTACTCACTCCAAAGGCGCTATTCCGCCACAAATGCTCTGTCTTGTTAAATTTGGCAATTACCTATATAAATGCGAAAAGTTTTAGAAGATAGCCATGAAAATAATACAATCAATGGAAAAGATGGATGACTCACTAATGAAATTCCATAAAGATAATAATTAGAAGGAAGAAAGAAGGGAACTGGATGCAGTACACCACTTCCGACCTGAGAAGACTAGCTTCAACTGCTGCTCTATTAAAACCTAGAAGGCATTTCCTTTCCTAGGCATTTATATAGCAAAAATAAAAAACCAAAGAGCGATCGCGCTAGAAAAAAAAAGTAAGAGATACTACTCTTCAACAATAAATCTTCACGTCGTGCGTCGCAAACTTTGAAAATGTTTTCATACGTCATTCAATCCTGACACTTGAAACATACCGCTACAAAATCCGGATATCGCACAAAACACGACATGGTTTTTTGAAAAGAGAGTGGAAGATATCGAATGCGATCATTAAGTTTCAAAGATTCGAAGAGAGGATTCATTGCAAGTCAGATCCCTTTTTTATTTTGAAAATTAACAAATCAGACAATCCATCGGAACTTCCACAGGACATGTAAATTTTGCAGCGATTCCGCAGGATTTTAATTACTATCGCAAAAGTGGAAAAGTTGAAAATAAAAACTTCCGCAGGACTTTCGTCAGACTGGTTGAAAACGAACTTGGCAGGACTTGTTACCAAACGCTGCGAAAATTCCGAAAATGCCAGCGGTTCCGCAGCACTTTGACGGCTAGTACTTCCGCAGGTTTTTGAATGTGTTGTCTTCTACGATGTTGTTTCGCCAACTACTAGAGCGCATTGTCGAACATTTAAGCCGTGGTGCAGAGGATAATGAGTCTGTGAGTCCCGCAATTGTAGAGCAAGGTTCGAATCTCGCTTGGGTGTTCTCTTTCGCAGTTTTGATTCGCATTCTTCGGAACTTCCGCAGGTGACACGGCGGAATTTTTTCAAATGTTCTGCGGAAGTTCCGGTCAATTGTCTGAGAACATATAACGGCACGCTCTTCATATGCTTTACCCAACTCCAAAGAGGTGGAGGGGGGGGGGTCGAGGCCAGGAAGAAAGAGACTGAAGGTCCACTCAATTCAATGCTACCATATTATCTTTCAAAACTGCGCACATTATCGAATTTCGCCCAAATCAAGCAATGATCTGATATGTGCGAATGCACACAACACGTGTATTGCGCGTCAAATCCTGGATTTCGTCGCATTCTTGCAAAAATCCACTCAAAAGCAACATACTTTGACTCCGAAAATGGAATAAAAATGGCAAAGGGACACGTGCAAGCAAGGCAGGCGCTCATGCAAATTCAGAAATTTACGCAAATTTTGCGCGTTGTCTGCAATTGCACTGAGAAATCAGCTCGACTGGATGTCGGTCTCGATAACGATGGGAGTAGAACTTGAACAGATTCATGACTACTCAAAAATTGGCATACTGGTTTTGTCAGTGTAGGCGGACTACAGAGATATATGATCCCACAAATCGCCAGCCACCTGATTATGCTGTCCGCGATCACACAATAGGCATACCTTGTTATTTACATCATTTATCTCTCCAACCAGATTTGGTAGTATGTATTTCCTCGATATACTGTGATGTATGTCTTTTCGCAAACGGATTGCGCCACAACTCGTCTAACGAGCTTGTCTAATGGGAAATTAGTCACGGAGATAAGTTAGCGCAGCGCGCATTATCTAACCTGTTTCGTTTTCAGCAAATTTTTCACGACTTCCCAAGAAAAAACTACAAAAAATAATTTATTCACGGTTGATCAGGTAGTAAAGAGTATCGTATTCCCTGGCAAAAAATACGAGCGAATGGGGAGTGTTCTAAGGCTGCATCCAAAACTGCCCGTGTGTCAGAGCCGTGCCAGCGCCGTCGATCGATACTGGACGCACCACATTGGAGCTGGCACGCCACTGGCACACGGGCAACTCCAAACGCGGTATCAATGCGCGCATAGTTCTACAGCGATTAAGTGAACACATATGAAATTTCAGTACATATCACGAGTAGTATGAATCGACTAGAATATGATGTTAGTACAATTCAAAAGTCAGTTATGAATCCAGGAGGTCTCAGAAGTAATGACGAATGCAATTTAAGAGAATTAATGAGACCAGAATACGAAAGACTTCGCCAATAATTCACAGTATCAAATTTACAGTGACATAAATTAGTGGGAACAGGTAGAGGAACGAAGTCTGCCATTAGGCACTGCATTGGCGGACAACTGGTCCTTATGTGCATGCAGCTATATGCCGTGTGAGGACCAGTAGTTGCACTAATGGCTAAGTTCGTCTACCACAGAATGCAACATAACTCAGTGGATCACAGCCAGATGAGAGTGTGAACCCAAAAGCCCGTGCTGCTAAGTCGGGGTTACAGCCGCCGGATTCTGGGCGGGGGCGGTCGGAGCAGCCGCGCATGGGGCGACGTCTATCGCAGCCAAGATGCTGTCAATGCCCAGTAGACATCCTTCGTCCACACCCTCGTAGACGACATCCTAAAAATACAAAAGGATAAAAACCTCGTTTTGAATCTCAAAGAGGCGAAACGCAGCTGGATTCGCGCGATCGGAGCTCAACTTGACCCATATCGTGATGGATTATGAGACATGAATGTGTCTCAATCCTTTTCAAAATGTCATCTTAAGCTTTCTAGATGAGTGTTCGGCGCGAAATCGAAAGCATTACATCTCCAAAACACCTGTTTCATCATTTGAAATAATCAAAAATTCCATCGGAAAACTGTAGATTTTGATTTTAAAAAGCGGATTTTATAAGACTGAAGAAACAAAACCGGTAACAAAATTTTTCACTGATGCGATAGAATTCAACGTTCATGTTTCACTTTCATAGAAGGCTTGACAAGATTCATACTAGTAGTAAAAGAAAAAAAATAAGTTCACCAAAGAGATAAAATAAAAATATCAAGACACTTAAAGAAGAAACCAAAAATGCTGTTCTAGGTCGAACCTTACAATTTTACACCCTTCCCCCCCCCCTTCAAGAGTTAACAACTGCAAAGAGACTAGAACTGTGAAATCACATAAATAAGAATGCCGCAATATTGCGTCATCAAATAAGATATTGGAGATTTGACTATCTTTGGTGCTTTCCATTTGATTATACACGCCGATAATCATGAAGAAACCAAATTTGAAAAATCGCGTCGTGATTTGAGAAAAGCTGCGCCAAAAGCACTCATATTTGGTGTATTTTCATCACTTTTTCTTGATTTCTATGCACTAAATAGTGTTTCATGAGGATATTTCCAGCTCAACATCGACCCAAAAAATCCTAATGACTGCAGCTATTTTTCATTTACGGTATTTGGGATTGGCTAGCACTACACACGAACGGTCACACTGCAATGAATTATGGAACTCTAGGACGGCTAATTACAGGAACCGACGATCACCTTTGCAAGCAATATCTCATCCATCGTACAGCGCTCGGCGAAAATGATGCGAATGATCGCGTTGAAAGCAAGCTATCAAGATTTTCCAGGGATGTGAGGGTTTTAGATTTCATACAGTTCAACATGCACTCAAAATTTTGACGCATATTTCAACATCAAAATGATGTCATAGCATTATAATTGAAGTAAAAACCCCATAAGACTAACAGACTTGGTATCTCCTGCGTATGCTGCTTTGTCACATATGTTTTGGCATTATTAGAAAGAGTGAGGGCCCAGCTAGGGAAAGTAATGAAAAAAATTAACTCGATCGTTCAATAACCAAACTTTCGTGTTTGCAAAGCTGAGCACAAACAACTGCTTTGCGTTCTTTAAGGCCACCCAAATCTGAGATTCAGGAGATGTTAATGCAATAAAATAGCGAAGATCCTCGCTGAGTGCCTACCTAAATCCCACTGCAAAAGATTATTTTAACCATTGACGACGATGTGTACCACCGGTGGCCCGGGCACTTTTTGCCACATGGACGATGTGGGTCACCGGTGGCTCACACCCCTTGCAAAATCATACACTTTCTGAGCATGGTATTTTTTTCCAAAGTTCAGTATTTTTCCAGTTTTTGCACTCTTAAAATATGTATCTTCTTCGTCCAAGAATATGACTGTAGCTGCTTACAAAACAACTTTACATTTCGTAGATAATTACAAAACTTTCTCACGCCAAAAGTTTGTGCAAAATCGCGTCGTCCCTTAGCGCCGCCACGCAAAATTAGGCGTCGTCGTCAATGAGTTAAAGCAAGAAGATTGCTCCAGAAGCTGGATGCTGCTGGGGTCGCCACGCCCACCAACGGGTGATCTAAAAGTTACAAACCTAAAAATGTCAAAAAGTTGTTTTCACGAGTGAAGGCGAAATCTCGATATTTCTAGGTATTATTGAAGTTTTTTCATTACCTTTAGACTAGCCTTGTTGATAGGCGAGTCGGAATTAACCACCTTCCGGAACAATTTTTTTCGCTTCGAATTACACCAAACTTTTTGCTGCGGGACTTGGTTAAAACTCGGTTAGGGTCCTCACTACTCTCCATCAAGATCTCATCACCTCCATTCAGCTTTGGGTGTAGGTTCTTTTGATCCAAAGAAAGTCATTAATGGTTCCGAATGACGAAAATAGATCCTATGCTGTAGCCAAATGCAGCCTCAAACGTACTTTTTTGGAACTATCCTGTCTCTGTCTCCTGTTCAAAACGTATCCGCATCCGTGACCTTCAAAACTGCAACTTCTTAGCGTGACCATAATCCATTAGCATCCCGTAAAGAGTTTTAGCACTAGCGCAAAACTTTCACTAAGCGCTATTTCGGTTTTCTTCCGCGCAAGCAGAGAACAGCGAAACCGAGATTGTCGACGACTTCTCATACATTTCTAAAGATCCAGCGCAACCAGTGATTGGAGAAATTGCTAACTTAGGAGTTAGTCCACCATGGAACAAGAATTTCTCAACAATAAAAAAAAAGCAAATTATGAGATGGAGAAGTACATATTTCGGTTGGTCCAAAAGCCAACATATCCTCTAAGCATTACCCAGCTGAATAGCAGATGAAGCCTGGTATTATGTTCACATACGTTCGCGACGCGACGCAGGGCCGCCGCAAGGGTCCAAGCCGCTGGAAGCTGCGGACGCTCTCATTGAAACAGCCTATAGGATACAAGCTATTCTTACTCCACTTCCTAACATCCTTATTCTATCTATTTCAGAACACAATCAAAAATCCTTTCGGCCATTGCGGATCCTATTTTCCACCATATGACTCTGTTGAAGCTGGAATACACAGGCGATCTATATGATCATCAATCTTAACCAGTTGCTCATCCTGCGCAGCTTAAACCGCCCCATCAACATTACTAGTCGGCTAGATTCCTTATGACGTTAGCGTAAGTGGATCTAACAAAGCCGCTACAAGCATCTGGGACATCCGCCCATGCGCGAAATGCCGAGAAATCGGCTTAACGCATGGACCAGCGCAAAACGCAACGCTTAATGGATTGCACAATTTCTAAATCACGAAAAACAAGCTGTACCTGCGCAAAACCGGGGAACGTGGAATGTGCGAAATCTATGAGACGTAATCGAATCGCATCGTCGGTGGTCGAATCGGCAGCATCGGCGTCGAAGGCAAACAGTAGTGAGGACGAAAAGAACCGATATCCTTCACATTCGAGCAATGTCGCTCGCAATTCTCGAAGCCTAAAAATGACTGTGTTAAGGGGAAGCGCGCAGCAGTAGTACACAAAAACAAGATTTCTGCAGTTGCAGAATGATGCGGGAAAAAATGTTCATGGTATCACGTGGTTATCAAAAATAATTAATCTTTCAGGAGATCTAGACAACTTTCAGGCTGCTCAGCTTACCCGTTGCCACCGTTGTGCCAGCGCCGTGCCACGCCCTTATTGATCGATCGTCGTCTCGGCACGGCGCTGGCACGGTGCGGCATGCGCTACTATAAACGCAGCCTAAGCACTAAAGTTTGTACATTCACAATTCATCATGTGATCGAAGGCGTTTCCTGCCTACAAATTTTGATATCTTTGCAAAACTTCAAACATTTCTCTTGATTATGATTCTGTGGTCATTTTAAGTCCTGATGCCATAAAAAGTATCGAAGATTAATAAACAATAACCTTGAAATCATGAACTGAGGATGTTGAAAAAGAAAAGAACACCTATATTAGGATTCAGCTCCAGACGAACATCATTCTGTCAATCAAATCGCCACAAAAAAAGCCTAACACCCATACATCCTTTGAAAGATGTAAGATCTGCGCGACATGTCTTCTTCAACAACTGAAGATGCATCATTTTTAATTAGCGCTGTTTGATTGCGGATACGAGACGAGATAGCCCATATCCATCATATTATAGACAGCTCTGCTTGTGATTCTACGATGTAAACTATTTTAGTCCATAAAAGTGAAAGCTGCAAGTTTCCAATCGTTTTTTACCTGTATTTAATCAAGCATCAAGCACTAGACAATTTTAATTAAATCTTTTGAACTGAACAGTTTGTCATGTGCTTTTTTTAGTTCCCACAGCACGCCGAAATCTAACAAGATTAGTACTCACACTACCGTTAAGATTAGAAATGCCCGCTCTACGTACACAGCGCAGCTAAAACAATAGTCTCTATGAGCATGACGCGCATGATGTGGAAACTAGAAATGGATGTGACTACTGATAGGTGCCACCACGGTACCGACATCATCTGCGTAATCGTGGCATTAAGTGAACTTAGCGTTCTCGCCGTTGGCAACACAGTAACTTTACATTGAAAACCGCGTCCGGGCAGATCCTCTAATTCTCGTCTTATCCAAGCCTTTTCTACGGCTCTAATTTCAGATATGGGGCTTAATAAGTGTATTTTTGAGAAACTTTGGAAGTGGCGCACCGAGGGGGGGGGGGGGGGGGAGAATGAGTCACGAAAATTTTGAAAGTTACATGATTCACACTAGTAAATAATGGAAATAATTCTTTAAATTTTTAAAAAATCAATTTAGGCCCTATGAAATTTCTTCGAGGGCGTGCCTGGCGCGCTCCCTTTTTTTTCTAAGATTTTGGGAATATGGGCCCGCGAAAATTGAAAGGCAATACTAAAAAAATTTTCAGAGTGTATAGCTAATACCACGCACCTTCATCAGATAAAACTTTGTGTCCCCCCCCCCCCCCTCAAGAAAATCCTGGGTACGCCACTGCTTGGGACCGGACGAAAACCCCGCCGCTAGCCATGTCAAATGTAAGTTTGAACAAGTCGAACAGTAAGCGTTTGATGTGTTCGCCATGTGAAAACGCGTCAAAAGTTGAGGAGGTTTTGTTCACGGGGCGGCAGCACACAGAATAGTGTGGTCCGCACACAGCTGCGATGATTTGCACGGTGATTTTCTTCTCTTTAAAGTCAGTGTTTAGAGAAGGGTTTGCGTTCAAATCTATTTCGAGGTCCTAGTATCAACTGATTACGATGGCAGCCAAAAATGGTTCAGATCTACCCCGACGCTACTTTCAAACGCAATCACCACACTTGATCCTTAATGTGACTACTGAACAATTAATAAATGAGGGGAAAATTCGCGTAGTACAGACATACGGCAAATTTATCTCACGCAAAGACTAAGAGGCCGTTGCGTCACAGTGAGACAATACGCGTTGGAGAGAGACCGCAGACGGTCAGAAAAACGAAAGTGAGTTGGTCTGAGAGTCAGTGACAGGGTTCGCAATGGCAACATATCTCTGCATACGATAAATAATCTATACGTTCGAAGCTTGCATGCACTATCTCTCTCCATCTAAAAGTAATGTTTTAGCTTTTTTTGCATTCTGACTGCTACGAAAACATAAGGTTCAATGCACTTGCACATCCGAGCTGCCGAACATGTAATTTATCTGTTTGTGCGTCAGTCAGAACCACTGCAATAACTGATGTGAAAACACGATTTCTCAAGTGCATGATGGAGTTTTAGCTTTAAGGCCTGTCGAATGAATTTGGAATGTTGATTCTCAGAAGTTTATCAACTACCAGAGGATGAAGGATTTGCAAGCCCTGTGAATGATAAACGGCTATTTGCGTCAAACTTTACAAAAACATGGCACAAATCATCCATAATTGTGCAAGCTGCAATACTAATATCAATTAGCGTTAGGATTACGGTAGCAATCTAGTCCTGTGCCATGGATCAACTCTTTTTACTATGGTGTTACAGGCATTAGGCCGTTAAACTGGTGCACATAATATCAACGAGCAAAAAACTGCAGTTTTATCTGGCACCAAAGTCATACACCGGAAAGCTCTCATGTGAACTTGCGTCGTTTGATTTTACTAGCAAAGAAGTTATTTGCAACTGCAGGCAAAAAGACGATTTAATGGGTTCAAAAAAAGCACAGCGGAAGAAGAAAAAATATAACGATTTAATCGTTGCCATGGATATAAAAGCAACGAAAAAAGCAAAACTATGCAAACATTCCAACAAAATCTCTCTAAATAACGACAACCTAAAAAATCTACAGAGATGACGAATTAAGGTTTGCAATAAGATCCTGGAGGAACATAATTTGATAAATTCTTATGGTAACCAGCACTGTTATTGCTTACATCAGGTTTGAGAAAAGATCCTAATGAATCGCAATGATTGAATTAGTCACGACAGAATTAGCAGACCTGATGATCTAGATAAACGCTGCATAACCGGATGTAGAAAGACTGGATGTTCTGTTTTTGCAGATAAATTGAAAGAATTGCCAACAATCAAATCATTCCGAAGCAAGGTAAACGTGTTCGTTAACAAACTGTGCTCACAAATCACTCGCAAAAAATCCACTGATTACTCGGCACTTGATTGTTTCGATTTTGTCTTTCGAGATTGCATGTGCAAAAGATCTAACAATGATCGAACAATCAATCAGTGAAATAACTATTACCCCACCAAAAGAGCAGAACAAATTCAAGTAACGAAAATGTTAAAATAAAAATGCCAAACAGAACGCAAGGCAGTTATCAAGCCATGTGTAACTTAATATGCGTAGTGTACACCATGCACTTTCTGACGACCTGTAGGATTGAATCTCTCATTTCTAGTAACTTACTTTTGTTTCGTTGTTTCATTTGTTTTAAAATTATGTTTTGGTTGTAGTGCATATTTCCATATTTTTTAACGCTGAAAAGGTTCAATAAGGTGTACTGTAGGGGTGTTTTCGATTGCCACGCGTGATGTGCAAGCTCATATATCAAGTTACAAATGACTCGACGGCTTCTCAAGGTGTTGCGCTAGCGTATACGAGCAGCACCTCGAGCAGCGCTTTAGTTTTAGGAACGTAGCAAATTAAAAAAAAAGAAGAAACAATCGACAAGTAGATGTCAAAAGACTTTGAAATCTCTTACCTATGTCTAAGACGTGCAGCACGTCCAATACCACATGTTCGCACAAATTTCTGTAGATGTGAACGAAATTGTGCAGCATCTATTCGTCGTCCTTCTTGTTTATCAACAAACGTGTAGGACTACAAAATCAAACTTTTTATAAGGTCAAAGTACCATTCAGAGAACACGCAAAAATCAAAATCACCTTTGTTCTCAATTCATACAATTGCATTCCGACCATTCTCACTCCTAACGTCGCACTTGTTGATTCACGACATTTTCGCAGCTGTCGATGTCGTTTTGACTCGGACGCGTCATCGCCGTGCTGTCTCAAACAAGATCTTTCTTTCTAGAAAACGTCTGATGTGTCATGCATAATCAGCTAATGACTCACCTAGTGCCTATTTTGAGATCAAGGACACACGGGCGTGAATATGTCGCCACTACATTATTTAATAGAATAAACCATGAATATGAGCCTTCGAGCAATTTATGAACAACCTAAATGCGTACAAACATAATAAAGTGAAAACAAATAAGGAATATAAAAATAAAATCGAAAAATTGCGAAAGATAATGACTTACCTTGCTCTGACACTCGGCTGCCCAGTAATTACTTGACACTCGATCAGTGATAACTTCGATTTTCCCGCTTTCATCCAGATGAAACCGTACCGAACCAGATTTTTTCGATTCTGATCCTGATCGTTTCACTTTCGGATGACATTCGACCTTTGGCTCAGCAACTAGGCGAAGATCACCGTCGTCGTCTACACTGGCACATACTCGTACGCGTCCTAGATAAATGATCACCATATTCACTATGCTGATTGTTGATTAAAAAAATAATCTCACCGCAGTAATCCGGGGCGAATTGACGTATATTTTCGCCCATTAATTCGTAAAACGCCAATTCTCGCGTGTTCATCGGCTTTGCCACATGACCATTGCATTGTAGTAATCCAAAATGACCTCCAACCTTGAAAAAGAAGAATTTCCCAAGAATTTTAGCACATTCTGAGACTTGAGAACCAGGGCAATCTTCATTCGCTACTGGATTTTGATTACGAGCTTGGTTGACAAGGTAAACGAACTTATCACAAGAAAAAAAAACAAAGCTGAATCGATGACAAAAAAATGCAGTATCCTCAAAAGCTGAAGCTGACTAATTAAGAAAATAACGACTATAAAGTCAGTTTCATCTTATATCCAAAAAATCCAGAAATTTACATTGCCAATTCACAAGGTCGTTGGAGAAAAAGTATACAAATTTAGTGAAAAAACTTCTAACAAAAAATAAAAATCCAGACTAATCATCACAAAAATTCAAAAATAGAAAAAACAGGAAATAATTCGAGATAAATTACGAGATACTCAGTCACACCTGATGTGGAAATCCAGATAGCTCCATACACACAAGCACCCGTCAGCGGTCAACTCACAATTGTCCGTAGACCAAGGGCCAAGCAACTAATGCACCTGAAATGTTGCCGCTGAGTTCATTGAGGGTTCGACACGAGGGCGACGCCCATTGTCTCTTTTCTGTCTCGATAACGGCTGCGATAACAAAAAGCCGAGAAAAATTGTGCTCTTCTGACACATAGGCGAATACACTGGGGAGAGTTTAAGAAGATTCAAGAAAAGTATGACGTATAGGAGCGAATTGCAAAACAAACAAAGATGGGGCAAAGTCTAGATGGAAAAACTTTCCTCCAAACTAAGTCAATAGAGAGAAGAATTTCACATATTAAATGGGGATTCCAGAGCTCAGAAATAAAAAGAAAGCCCAGAAGCTTCTGAGCCTCCAAGCAAGCAAAACAACGAAGCAAAGGCGGAATTAGACACATGTCTTGTTAGAGTAGCAGAAAAACAAGCGTCAACTTCAGTTAACACCATAAAGAACGAGGAAGAGCGGATAGAAACGAGGAGCGAGGAAATCGATGTGAGCATAGTGTGTGTGTAGAGTCGTCATTGGGACACACACACGTGCGAGCCGCATATTCAACAACAATCCGTCACTTCGCAAATCAACACCGACTTTTTCGTCGAAAAGAAGAAGTTGACAGCCAGAATTTTGACCCTGAAGGTGGGGAGGCGGGGGGAACGTGGCATGGTCCAGAATTTTCTTATCATTACTCAATGATTCATAGCGAAAGGTCTTCCAGAAAAGCTAGAGACGCTATCAAATTCCATTGAAGATTTAAATTCATTTTCCAGTCATCACTGACGCAATTACGACAGTTACAACTTTTCTATCAGGCCTTCAATGACTTCCCCTTTCTCGTAATTGAATAAAGTAAAAAGTCGTTTGACAAGCGGGTACCGGAATAAAAACAAAGTTTGAAAATTCCTTGAGGACATTTTTATAGCTGTTTCCAGGTAGAGAATCGTAAATAGCTCACAAATAGATTAAGTATTTTTTAAAGATGTTTTTCATTGAAAATCAGAAAAAAAAATATTTCAATGTAGGTTGACAACTCTTGTAATCAATATCATGGATTATTTAGTATCTAGAAAATTTTCTGAACATTACTGATTGGGAAGTTTTATTACAAGCGCCTCTAAAAACTTCACTAGTTCGGAATTTCTGCGATCAAAATTGAGTTTCTATTGATATCTGGTAGATAGATTCAATCTTTCTTTGATCAGATGGTTTTGACAAAAGTAATTCTAGATTATTTTAATGCAGAAAGTCAAAAGTACAAGACCCGTTTATCTAAGGAAATTTTGATCTTTCATTTATTCGGAGAGAATCACCACACCTATAATTAAAAAAAAACAAAGCACAATTCATGAGGCATGAAAGTACGAATGATAAAACGAATGCCATCACTGACTGGGTATGAATGGTAAAAAGTTAAATTATAGTATAGTTCGAGCAATATGTGCGAAAAATGAGACACAGCTGCGAAGTATAACAAGAGTCACAAATTCGACGCATTCACAAAGTGCTCCATCACTTTGTCGCCAGTTTAACTATTCTGTACTTCGAGAACTACATTATGGCAAACACTTTCTCAGGAAAAAAATTATTCCAAATCTCCTTCACCTCAAAATCGAGCCTAAGAAATTTGTAAGTTCATACAAAACAAGGGATTAGCTAAAATCATAAGAACATCGTAAATCCTTTGATACGGTATGGATAACATGAGATAATTTTTCGAGCGCTTGGATAACCAATCAAATTGCAGGTTAATCTAGGAAAAATCTCCAGGAGATGAAACGGCTAAGCGATAATCTTCCCTACACTCCATTAGCAATATACTTGTATCATTTCATGCGTAAATCAAAAATATTGAAGAACCAAATGATAAAATGATAAATTTTGCTGTCAATTGAAAAGATATTGCTGCCAATCGAAGAATATTTCAAAACTAATCCTCATAATTTAAGGAAAGCTTTGTATTTCTACAGCCTTCTATACATTTGAGTTAACAGCAACATCTACCTCTTGTATGACTCTTGGCAAAAGCCCAAAAATGAGAATCCTTCAGGATTATTCTATTGAAAGTGGCAGCTTTCAAGTGCCTCATTTGGACATTCAAAGGATTTTACATGGAAACGAGTCTCACAATGATTAACAAAAACTACAATTTACATGACAATGCAATTTTCCACTTCTCATAAGGGCAACTGTTTTGTCTCGTGAAGAAGCAAGCTAAAAGCACAAGCGATTAGAAGTGCAAAGAAGTGTTAGGAAAGAGTCATGTAGAGGCAAAACGTCTGGTTTTCTTGCTAAGGGAGTAATTAGCAAACTCAAGCAGCAGCATTATGTACGAAAATCCGAACATTATTGGCAGAAAACCCATAAACTACTCTAAAAAGAACATGGAGATATTTTGTTACAAATTGGGTAACCCAACACCACTTCTTTCAAAAACTTCAATCACTATTCACAGCTCAGGCATAAGTAATCGTCATATGTACTCAGCCGCTTTTCTGACACAGAAATTAGCTTGGCTGTCAAAGTCACGTAAGTGCATTTGTAACAATTCCGATTCTTTGCATTTTCTCAGCGCGGGACAAGATGACTGATGACCGGAAACATTGACATTCTAGCGGAAAAATAACCTAAATGACGAGAGGGAATATTCCCAGTTGGCATTCTCGCAAAAGCATATTATACACACAGTAGATTGAAAAATGACATTTTTAAAGCGTTTAAAACGGAAAAATTTAAAAGATGGTGATAAGGGGGGGGGGGAACATATTTTGACGCAGACGCACCGTCAAGCCATTCGTAAATTAATATCTAGTTCTGCACACTACTCGCGTCAACTGACGACACTTACTGACTCTGAGAACTTCTCTGAGAAACTTTTTAGCGTGAGAAACTGTAGTGATGTGTACTACTTACTAATACAAACCCGAACAAAGCAAAGAAGACGAGGAGACGAGGAGAGATGATAGGAAATGAGCAGTTTATCTGACGAGTCGTCAAGTAGCGAGCATGGTGTGTAATACGCAAAGAAAAACGACTGAGGATAACAAAAAATTTCGAAGAAGAATCGGTAAAGATCGAGATGAACCAAAAAGATGTAATTATGCACATCGCATAAAAACAAAAAGAAATAAACATGGAGGAAATAGCGGATGTTTTTAGTAATTTTTGGGAGTTTTCACTCCCAAAAATCCTACGGCAACACTTGTGATAAGCAGACAAGAGAAATTACGTTCTATCAACAATGAGAAAAAAAAAGAACATCTTCACATGCGATAGCAGACATGACGCACTATCCTTGGGACTCTATCGTCCTCGCAAAGACCTTGAGACCTTCGACTCTCACATGCTCGAGGGCATTTGCGTGCAACGAGTCTCTAATGGCGCTGGTCCCCGCAGAACTCACGTGAAACAAAGGCAATCAACCCATCAAAAGCCGTGTGTGCACTGCCGCACACACGGTTTCCAATTAGCGACACGACGAAGCCGATGCGAATCATCGTCGTCGTCGCGTAGAGCTGCGCGTATGCGGGTGTGTGCTGTTCAGAAACTCACGATGCTGTAATATGAGGCCCGAGGAGGAGGAGGTAGGAGAGGCGAGAGAAGCACGACGATGTACGTGGCGGAGGCCGAGCCGAGGAGGGCGACGACGGGCGGCCGGCCGGACGGCCAGCTGGTCGCGGCCAACGAGCCGAGCCCCCTTCATCGTCCCCCCGCCGCCGGCACCGAGAGGCCACACGTCCGGAGAGTGTGCTAAGCGGATCCGCCATGGCTGCCATCCGGAGCGGTCTGCTCGACGTGCTCGCCCATGGTGAATGGCACCGGGTGCATGCCACACTCGATCCCACCGCCATCACTCTACAGGTGAGTACGACCGAATCTGGTGTCGCTTTCAGCATGAATGACAATCGCTTGTAATCCGAGCCAAGCGGATATGTGTGAGCGGATCCGCGCGCTAATCGCGCCGGAAAACGTTACTGACTATGGCTAGAACATTCACTGATTAGCGTTTGCTAGAGATAGCCGTATTCGCTCATATAAAGTAAATGTTGCAAAGACAAACCTATTAGCACTGACTTAATTATTAGTTACAGTATTTGGATTATCCAAGCATATTGCTATTGAAATCTTCACAAATTCTTTGTGAAAGCAAAGTTCTTTATAGACACTTGAATACACATGATGCATTGTCAAATTTGGACAGAAAATATGTCGCCTCTCATATGACTGTATGCCACTACCCTAAAATCGAACCCAACAGCATTTGTGTCACAAATCGAACAGTATACAAACATATCACTTACTTCTTCTATACTTCTTTGAAGAGTTTCTTTCAGTTAGCAACATTGTTTGATCAAAATACTTTGTCTATTAATTCGATTATCGCTAATGAGCTCGTCTCTATTATTCAGAATTTCATCCTCATGAGAAAGAAAGGAGAAAGGGAATCTATAGGGCCCGCAGGCACGCATAATCCTGCGAGAAAGTGTGCAATTAATCACTATGGGATGAAGAGGGCCATGAAATTGGCATTTTCAATAGTTCAAGTGGGCACGGCTCCAAAAGAAATAGATGTCAATTTTCCTGCGATTTCAGTACCTTTTATCTTCTTTGATGCCTAAAGCAATTCACTGAACACTTCCTTTTATATAATTAAAATGAATACTTGTTCCTTTAAAGCCTATTTGGAACAGATTATTCAGATTTTTTCCTATTTCTTCTTTGTTTTCGTTTTTGAGCTTCCCAACCTCTAACATCCAATTCAAAACATTGACTGCCCACCACTAAGGATAATTGCTCGAATTCGCACAAGCTCCAGTCGTTGTTTACACAGGCGTGAAAAACCCAAAAGTACACAAGAACTTCCTTCAACACACGTTGCGCTTGTATTCAGGTTCGAACATTTTCTTTCACTTTTTGCGCAGATAATTTAGGAAATGGGTCAAGTTCATTTCGAATTCACCTCCAAAACTATTGCTCATTCAGCCATGTAATTATCACTGTAGCCACTAATTTGCTATTGTGCAATTGTCGAAATTGTGAAGAGAACTCTCACCCTTTTGCTTTTAAAAAACAAAAGTATGAAGAGTCAAAAGACAGATGCATCTTTCGTGGTTTATTTGAAATCCAATACCCTCTTGTTAAGCAAAAGAAACAGTACAAAAAACTGCCGAAAGCTTCAAGGGGCTAATCGCTTGTCATTCCTATTTTTAGCTATTATTTTATCCTATGAACATTGAGGTTCATGTTGCAGTGTTGTTGTTGTTGCTAATTCGAGCTTTATAGGCAGTCGAGACCGACCACACCCAAGATCTTGATGCTGAGAAACGAACAGTTCGAGTGGTAAAGTATGACGGAAATGGTCTTGGAATCAGCATCAAAGGCGGTCGCGACAATAACATGCCCATCATCATCAGGTATAGCTGATTCATAGCACGCAGAAGCAGGACGCCATTGCGGAACTGTGTACGTCTCTCAGACCAAGTACACTTTCATTCCTCCAATAGTCTGCTGTCTCTCCCAGACACGTACTATCTTATCAATCGGACGCAGTGGCGTTAGGTTTCTGCGTGCGATGAATTGCCCAAACCTCTATCGAAGCTTATATACGTAGTGGGACCAAACGAGACGCAACCTTTACAGTAAGATCTTCAAAGGGATGGCGGCAGATCATACAGGCGAATTATTCGTTGGTGATACTATACTCGCCGTAAACGGCGAATCGCTTATTGATGCAACACATGACGATGCTGTCCGAGCATTGAAACGAGCAGGAAGGGTAGTGGACTTATATGGTAAGCTCTAGGAATCAATAAATACCAAGAAAGTATGAACATGATAATTTCAGTGCAGTATAAAAGGGACGAAATGGTCAGAAATGATAACGTTGTTGAGAAAATTGAATGGGACGACGATACACGAGATAGAATTCGCGCCATAGGCTTGAAGTTGGCCTATGTTGCACGTGCCGGAATAGATGCCGATGCTGAAGGAAGGATATTCGAGGTGAGAAAGAGATCGGTGACACAGATGAGGATTTTCTTACCTTTTTTAAAAGATCATATAACACAAATTGGATCTGGCATGAGAGAAAAACAATTAGAAAATGCAGATTTGAAGGAAATATACATGATCCCAAAAAACTTATTAGATGAGAAGCCCTTCCGGACGTTATGCTCTCGCCTTCCGATGTGCTTCTTCCGTTGAAGCTGATTCCTGGTTTGAGGCGATACATGGATGCGTCAATGCGCTGCTAACCCAAGCTTTAGCGCAGGTGAGATAATATCATTTTAGATGTTGTCTTTCTCTACACTGAGGTCTTTTCTGATTTTGATTTCTGCAATTTGAAGTAACTATAGAGATTTTAGGTAAACCTTATGCTTGGAGGACATCCACAGGTGCGGCGGATGGGATGGGTCTCGGAACAGGTATAGAATTTATGTCGAAAACCCATGTACAAGCGTAATCTGCATTTCTCAAAGGAAAAACCTTGGAATCATAACTTACAAGCCTCCTACAATTTCCTCATAATTAACGATGCCTTTCTAGTGCACATCAAAACAGTTTTTTATTCTAAAATTTTGATTAAAAATTCAAATTGATTTGGAAGAATTTGAATGACGGATGCGTCAAAAATGTCGTTGCATGAGTAAAAGTACATAAATTTCCTTATACTACTTACACTATATTGTATGCAATGTAGATATCTCACATCGTCAGAAATCTCAACACAAGAAAACAAACAGTCAAAAAAAATTTATGAGCATCAACACCTGATCTGTAATGCGCATAATTTCAGGTGAGCGAGGACGGCATCATCATGTGGAAACCGAAATTTCTCACACTCACTCAAAACGAGCTGCTCTTTTATGAAGCAGTGCCACAGCTCAAGACCGAGTGGGCAGAGCCAAGGATAACAAGGCCCCTGGTAGCTACTAGGGTGGTTCAGACGACATCCCGAACTGCGCCTGTGATGAAAGGTAAAACCATAAGGAAATCGGGGCATATACGTACACTATTTGCGGTTTTTAGGTTTGTCTGATGTAATTTCCCTGCGGATAAGAACGGGGACACAAAACGGCGTTCGCACTCATACGCTGCGAGTGGAGACTCACGCTGACCTTGCTCAATGGGTGCGAGCGATCGTATTAGGAACGTATGAGGCATGCTCAGAGACTTCGCAGGTGAGGTTGTGAGAAGGAAGATATATGAACATTCGTAGGGTTTTGAAAAGAGCAAATAGAAAACAGATATATGTGAAATCAATACAAAAAAGATACTCGAGAGTGAAACAAAGAGTGAGATCTTTTTAGGTAACTTCACCATGCATTTGGAGAGGAGAAAACTGTGAACTTATTGTGAATCTCGATGTAGGAATTTCACTCACAGGACCAAATAGAGAGGTATAACATCAAAAGAAAATCTTCAACAAAAATAGAGCAAAAAATGCACCCACCTTACAGATACTTTGGCAACACCCCTTCGAAGCTATACGGGCAACAGGCGACGATGGTGGTCGCTTTTTATGGATTGATTTCGGTCCTCCGACTGGTGAACAGGTATGGCAGCAGTGCCTATTCCTCAAATCAAAGTTTGCTTAAAATAAGATCATTTGAACAATATATGGGCACGCTTACAACATCGTCATCCTACAATGTAACTAGAGGGCATATTATAAGTTTTATCAACAAGAAAAACAACAACATGATAACAACTATATTTCAGGAGCTAGATCTTCTCACATCAGCAAAACCAATCGTCTTCATTCTGCACTCATTTCTTGCTACAAAAGTCTATCGACTAGGACTCTACGCTTAGTTCAAATGTAAGTTCATTAACAAACAACTATTTTCAATTCTGTGGTGCACCATATGCATCAGGCATCCGTTCAATAGAGAATCTATGCCCAAGTATGTACATAATAGGGACTCCAGGAATTTTTCGTATCCGCCGTTTCAAATCTCGATCACACGTTGCCACGATATAACATTTGTGCTGAAATTATTCGTTTACAGATGATGCTCATCAACGCCAGTCAAGCTTCTTGCCCATGTAAACATTCCTTCCAAAACATGACAACCGGTGATTGACGCCACTTCTAGAGGTGCCACCATATCAGCTCAATGCGTGCTAGCTTCAAGGGACACAAAGTCAGCATAGTAATTTATCGATGTTAGGATTTAGCTCTGAGATCAAGATATTGCTCGAGTACCGGTCACAAAGTTCTATAATAAAGTTTCTGCTTTCTACTCGACAATGTTGAATACGAAAACAACGCAGGTTGCTGCACATCAGTTCAAATGATTGAAGTCTAAAAGATGCGGCAATTACTGAAAGTTTTGCAGTCCTTATAACATGAAATGCAGCAGAAAGCTATGTTTGTACATCAAACCGCACTTCAGACGGCAATTGAAGTATATACGAGATCAAAGAAAATGATAATCTCTTCTGACAAACGCTGATTTCTCTGACTTATCAGAAGATTCCTTCATATGATGTTCGGTCGATTATAAAATAATACTAATCAAAAATCACTGAATATTCCTCGAAACAAATGATGTTTTGATTGACTCATTATGCAAGACAAGAATCCTTGCCTTTCATTTCAAAAAAATCCTATCAAAATAGAATAGCTCAAGAAAAAAGAAAATAACAGCTAACATACCTGAGTGACTCGTTGCACGAGGCAATCATCCGCGTAGATGCCTTTGTGATCGCATTTTAGCCGCTGGAACCTTGCATCCTTTATCACCTTCAGAGCGATTTTGAATCTGCGTCCAGCTTTCTCCAACTCGCCCATTACGCAGTCCGTTATGTACGGAATTGCTAAATATCACAAGTGAACACACACAAGAAATGAAAAAAAAAGAGAAAATAACTCACTGTGAGCATATAGACAATCACGAAATCCTTGGATGACGTCTAGCCTGTTTTTAACTGCGAAGTTCACAAAGTTAGTATCGACTAGGATATGAAATGGTGGTCCCAACTGGTTGTTATATTTGAGAAACATAGCAGACGAGATCTTCGGCCTTATAACGAAATCAATGCATCTAGAAACAAACTTTAGTTTAAAACTTACGCATGCGTTATTTTCAGCTCCTGTTCGTCTTCTTTCTTCTTTCGGATAATCCTATTTTCTTCTTTGCTAAACAAAATATATCATACAAGTACCAAAATCAAACTAACATTGTCAAGAACGGGTGGAGGAACAACACATTAATTAGGCACCGCCTCCGCGGAAACTGGTCCCAACACAACAGCAGGACGAAAGGACTGGCAGCCGGAGGCGGTGCCTAATTGAGGTGTTCGTTGCTCTACCGGTCAAGAACAACATCAGTGTTAGCATACTTGCCCTACTTCGTGACAAAACAACAACAACAAAAAAACAAACTCACTCACATTCTGTTATCCGTCGGTTTAATTGTTTTTATTTTCCTTGCAATTTTGGCTGCTTTCTTGACCTTCCCCATCTCTACTAAAAAGATTTACTATGCAATCAGAAAGATGAATCTGAACTGCAAAGTCACAGTTGAAGTGTCAGGAGCAGAGCAATAAAGAGCAATGCTGCCGACAGAAAAATTCAAACTAGCACGAAGCAACATTGGACTTCGATGCTGCAAAAAGGGAAGGAAAATCAAAGAAAAATTTTCAGAAAAGATGTGAAACCTAGTGAGGACTTGCTTCGATAATTATGAAAATTATGCAAAAGCGAAGCGAGAAGTTAGACCTTGTCCAGAGAACACAGAGGGTGAGAACAAAACTAAGGACGTCAGTAAGACACATTAAAAAGTAAAGAGAGGCTTGACAAGAGCCAGAAAAGTAAAAGAAAAACAGGCACTACAGAAGAAGAGAGATATCAAAGGTATCAAGTGCTGCAACACCAAAATCAACACAGCTGGTTATCATGGAGATATCTTTATCTCAGATCAGTAATCCTAACAAAATCCTAACAAAAAACAATAAACATATAAATATACAACTCTATGAGATCTTAATGTTTACTGCGAGGCTCATCTTTTGACGTAGCCACACCCTCTCCATCCTGTGGGGTAGCTGTACTCTCTTCATCTTTTGGCGTCGCTGTAAGAAAACAACTGATTCAAAGAGACACAAGAAATGAGATTCAAAGAATCACTTTTGAAACATTGCGTCCGCATTACACATTCCATAAACGCTAACAACTGGTCGCCGCATGCTCCCGCTTCAAGTTCTTCTTCAGTAGACGACTTTTGACAAGTGATAGCTTCTCTGTAATATCCCAACACTATTAGGCAATAGTGTATACAGTTCACGTTAATCAAAATGATTTCTGCACTGAAAACAGCACGCAATACTTGCAAAAAAAATCTGATTTTATGCGCAATTTATCAGATTAGTCGCGGATAGTCCGGTCCTTAATACAGGCGGATGACTTTGGCGAGGCGCGCGCGAGCGTAAGATTGATATCACTCGAGTCTCTACACTTCACGCGCTCAAACGATGACTGGTGACAAAATAACGCTTCGCGTCCGCTTCGCAAAAAAAAGCTATTTGCCTTGGTTCAGGACTGGACTATATAGAGTTTCGAATTGCTTAAGTATGCTGGAAAATCTTCAATTTCAAGTAAATTTGTGATATGCCTATGAGTAACCGGATAACTTTAACTATAGCCGGAAATCAAATTGCTAAGTATATTGAAAAATGTTCAATTTCAAGCAGATTTATAATACGCCTATGAGTAAACGGATAACTTTAACTATAGGTGATAACTCCAAACATCCCAGTCTGAGCGAGTTCATGCTTTTTAGAGACATTCGAGCGACACACCTGAACTCATGCCCACAGGGACTGGCGACGAGATGTCCGACACAATGGCATTCAAAGTTTACGGATCCATCAGGATTTGTAGGACCTAACTAGAGGATATATGTTCAAAAACATAAATCAACAAAAGTAGATAATCAATAAAACCAATAAAAAAATAGTAGAAAATTCATTTCAACTCACCCGGATTGTTAGATCGATAAACTTCACTTGGGTCCATTTCTGCTATTCTTTGTATGTACTCATCCTTGATGTCAGACCAGAACTCTTTTTCACTTAGGTAAAACACCTAAAAAGCATATGTAGTGGACCAAACAATTCCCACAACAAACACAACATTGAACACTGCTTCCTTTAGAAAATTTTATTATCCCACTTTATGCAACCCAAACTTAAATTTTGCCCTTTACGCAGAGAAATATATGACAAGCTGATAACGAAGGGTATTTATTTATGTCGCACGGTCCTTCGCCGCAGGGTCAAAGACCTGTCATACTTCGTCGAAAAAAGTCCAAAAGCGCCCAAAAAAACAAAAAACGCCAGGAAGCCAGAGTGCTCTCTTTCATTCGGCTTGAGACTTTTGGTACAATTCTGAATTATTTTGATGTGCAAACGACAGAAAATGAAGCGAAAAGACTCGATTGCGAAATCAACACATATGTCCTGAGGGTGTTTAAGCCCTTTCAGGTGCTTTTGGGCTTTTTTGAGCGAAGTTAACAGGTCCCTTACGTGGACATATGGTATGGGGTCAAGTTCTCAAAATGACGGTAGAACGATGGGGTAAAGGTATGTTTGTGGCTTTTTTCTCATCGTAGCGCTACCATAGGTGGATAATGTAAGGAAAAATGCTGTTCGGGCAGCATGTGAAAAGAGGATCTGGATTCACAGAACTCCAATTGACCCCTGTGAACCTAACGCCTCACCTCCTCAAAAAGCCCTACCGCGAAACGTAGCACTTACGCAGTCAACATATAGTGCGTCCCCAGAATTGATCTCATGGATACTATCCATAAGGCTGCCTTTTGATCGTTTTAACATGTCGAGTCCGAATAAGCGCCTCAAATCTGCTAGAGTTAACGTATTGAAACAATCGAGAGGCAGCCACTTTGCTGGTCCCTAAAGGAACAGCAAAGTGGCTGCCAGTGGCCAGTTCTGGGGGATGCACCATACAGTAATAACATCGTGACAATGTCGTCCACGCGCGTAGCATACGCATGTTGGCCACCGCAATTTTTTGGCTCCCATCTCCAGTCGAATGATCTTTGCATGTATATGCTGGAGCTTACAAAATAGACTATAATGGCGACTGAGCGGGGCTCGAAGTGGTGCCTTTTGTTCGGACATTTTGCTCACTTGTACATTTGGGGTGCAAAGACCGCAATCGATATCACTGTCACGATTTTCTGACTGCTCTGTACCTGTAGGGCACTGGCCGGACTTCGCTCAAAAGCGCCCAGATTTCTCTCGTGTCTCTACTTTCTCGTGTGAGGAGAGATGAGAGAGAGTGAGGAGAGGTTAGAGAAGTATGGGCACTTTTGGGCGCTTTTCGAGCGCTTTGAGCGAAGTCTGGTCAGGGCCTAGAAGCGAACAGGCCAGGACAACTGGCTAACTAGTTGATGAGAAAACCAGTGGTCTATAGATACTCCAAAGGAGCTAGAAATGTTAGAAAGTAAAGAACTGGATTGGATTGTCATGAAAAAACTCGTAATAAGAAGAAAATGATAAATTCAAAACTAACCTGATCTTTGCTCTCATTCTTGGACATCCTCCTTCGAGTAGACCTTGGAAGGACGATGCAAGCAGTAATAAGATGGGAGCACAAGAAATCTAGGACAAGTCTATTTGCGGAAATAGAAAAGCTCGAAAACCTGAGTGGTCCGCGAATGCGTACGTTATGATGCAATTCGTATCATTCACGACTGTTTACTCCAGTAAACAACTGATGATCGCTTTTTTTGCTTTGTTCACTCAGTAATCGTTCAGTCACATGAATACAGCACGATCTCTTCGATATTTGAACTCAGTCAGTAGGTAAGCAGTAGAACGTCTGCTTCGCGTCTCAGTTTCTTGGAGATTGTGGAAGTTCTTTCAGGAGTGTACTGCCTATATCCACTGCTAGATTCGTACATGCTAGGAATACGTTCATCAATTTTGTTCCACAGCAGGAAGCATGGGTAGTCGAACGAATGGGAAGATTCTACAAAATTCTTGAGCCGGTACGTCTACCATTGGGTGTTCTCATCTACCATGGGCTTGCCTCAAATGGTTTTCCATATTTACTACTCCAGTTTTTCATTTATTTGGTGGTTTCAAAGAAAATTGTAATTGCTTGATGCACTTTCTGCGTCAACTGACTAGTGTTAAGCTGTGTCATTCTCATGTCACAGGAGCTTCTCCCTATTCGTCTGCTTACTTAGTGGATTTGGGATGCGAGATTGAGAGAAATTTGCAGAAGTACCTCAAAATCTGATATGTAAGACCTCCCCGCAAACAAATTTGTGTGAAGGTACAGAAAGGCTGCTTTGGGCTTATCTAACAAGATGGGCACTAATACTGAACAAAAAAAGATTTATTTCTAGGGGCACTGGATTGAAGTTGGACTTATCTGGGTCAAAAAAGCGGCTTTATATGTCAGATTTTAGGGTAATTATGCTTGGAATGTGTCGTCAATCGGCATACTAGTAACCAACTTCTCAACTGCGGTTTGGAACACTCAACATGCGATTGTTGCTTTTACCACAGTTTGATGCAGTGAATTCGCGTCCCAGGTTGTGGTCATACTCCTACTCGAGTGGGAATCACTTCACTAAACCGCGCGCGCGGGGTTGATATGTCACGAGGGGACGGAGTTTATCGAGCCCTTGCAGGGATCAACCGATCTTTGTAAATTTCGATGGTTGGGGATCTTAGGAGATTAGTGACCGTGTTTATCGGCATCCAGTGGATTTCTTTTGAGTTTGCGAACCCACTAGGTTCATTCGTGATACCGCTTACGTTTCGGTGTGATTCCGGAACCTAGTGGGTAGGCGCTTATTCTGTTGACCGGAAACCATCGGTATTTGCACTAGATTCAAACCACTAAAATCGGAGCATCTTCTTCTTGTAAGTAGGTGGGGGGGGGGAGAGTGATGTCACAGTAAAAATTGTATGGTGGTGAGGATTGAGCGTTCAGTCTGTACCCGTCATCTTTCTGATATATCCATTTCACAAAGCTTCTATCTATGTGGCTTACTAGCTTTTTTGTCAAATTTCTTCTGGTTTTGGAAAGAAAGGGTATTTTAGGGATTCAACATCCTCATACCGGTCATAGATCGAATACGCTTCGTTCAAAGCCTTCGAGAAATTGCCATAGAGATTCCACAACAAGGCGCAATCACCCTCGATAATGTGCAGTTACAACTGGATGGAGTGTTATATCTACGCGTGATCAATCCGTACAAGGTGACCTACTTTTGTTGTCATGGATTCTACTATCATCTCCAGGTATCAGGCTTCCTATGGCGTCGAAGATCCTGAGTTCGCCGTAACTCAATTGGCTCAAACTACGATGAGATCCGAGGTATCTTACCCTCTTTCACAGCTTTTCAAGTCTCCTTGGATGGTGATCCTTTTACATTCATTCAAGGTTGGCAAAATAAATCTTGATACGGTTTTCCGAGAGAGGGAACAGCTGAATATAAGTATAGTTGAAGCAATCAACAAAGCGGCTGAGCCGTGGGGAATCAAATGCATGCGATATGAAATCCGTAGGTTTGAGTTATCTCATTATTTACTTCTAGTATGCAAAGCTTTTGACTTACAGGTGATATGCACATGCCGGCGAGAATCCAAGAAGCAATGCAAATGCAGGTTTGAAATTATAATAATTTTTTGGGCTACCCTTGTTCGCACTTCGAATTTTATAGACTGGTTTTTTTCCAAAATTCTGATTGCTACAGGTTGAAGCTGAACGAAAGAAGCGAGCTGCAATTTTAGAGTCTGAAGGAACTAGGGAGGCTGCTATTAACAAAGCAGAAGGAGAGAAAAGAGCGGCAGTGCTCGCTTCCGAGGCCAAGGAAACCGAGCAGGTAAGCAAGGACTGAGTCTTTTTTGTGACCGTGATTTTACAAAAATCATGAGACACGATTCGTCGCGCTATACTCACTTCTAGATAAACGTCGCTAAAGGTCATGCTGAGGCGTTGTTGATCAAGGCAGAAGCGCGTGCCAAAGCCATCGAGAGGGTTGCCACAGCTTTGATTCAGAAGGTTAGCCTTCCATATCTTTACGCAGACTTGCATTTGGTTTGTTTTTTTTGTCTGCGGTATCATTTTGGTTCTAAAGCATTGGATTTGGTTGCATTAAACTAAAATCACTTGTTTTTGTGTTTTCCTGGTTTCTGCAAGGTTCGCGTTTCCTTGGGTCGCTCTCGAAGAGCGCAGGCTCTTGACTCATAAGTGTCACAGTCATGAAAATATGCTTCCAACTTTGCAGTGACCAACTACAAAGTCTGAAAGCTCAAAAGGCGCCCAATAGATCAAAAGATCACGCTCACACTATATCATTTCCGATTTCCGTTATGAGGCATAGTGTTTACTTCATAATTTCATGAATATATATCTTCAGGGAGGAGACAGTGCTGCCAGCCTTAGCGTAGCAGAACAGTACGTCACAGCATTCGAGAAGCTTGCCAAGGATACGAATACGGTAGTGTTACCAGCAAATCTGACTGAACCCAGCTCAATGATTGCACAAGCGCTGGCACTTTATCAGAATATTGGGAAGAAACCGATTAGCCAGGGATAGTGTATTAGTACGGTGATTCTCCTATCTCGCATAGTTTTTGTTGTTCTTTTATGAGTTCAGAGAAATTTGTTTTTTTTTATTTGCATGTGTGATGATGATCAAGCTATAGACGTAAAGAATTTATAAAAAATTGCGAATGCACAATGACTGCTAAAAAGCAGGGCAAGGCCGCAAATTATACAGGAAGATAATTGCAACTATATCCTGATGTGAAAAGTTCGAATGAAGTCGGGCGATCGTGAGACGACATGCTCGAATTCAGCATAATTGATGCGATCATCTCCGTCAAGATCAGCTTCTTCGATAATCTACAAATGTTTGGTCATCGTTTCTAATATACCCAAGAAAAAACGACAAGCTTACCCTTTCAATGATGAATTCCACCTCCTCGTCACTCAGCTCGTCCCTTGTCAAACTTCTGATCATTTTGCTCAAGTCGTCATGTCCAAGATACTCGTCGCTATCGAAATCTGTTAACATGAGTCACTTTCTTGCAGGTTATTTTTATGCGAATTTTCGCCATTAAAATCTACCAACAAAAGTGATGTTTTTTTTTTGCAGAAATTAAACGTCTTGAAACCATTTCGAAATATAACATTTTGTAAATCTGAGGTTATTAGGGAAGCTGGTTGATCTTGTCATGAAATCTCAAACTCGAGTGATTTATCTAGCATAAATATTTTCCTATATGACACCCTACTTGAATTGTCTAAATTTAAAATAATTGAGTGGAACATGTAATGGCTTTATATCTGACGCACGGACCAGACGTCGCCAATGCAAACTGGGAGTTAGTGTACGCAAGAGAGGGCAGACGATGAAATTGAACAAATAGACCCTTGATCAGTGGGAGAGCAGATATGTCTGCAATGGCCTCCTACTGTGCCAGATAATACTATTTTCTGTCTTTCATTCTAGGTGAATGATGAGATTTCTCCAATTTTTTTATTTATCTACTCGTTTTTACAGTTCCGTGCTTTTCTACAGCTCACAAAAACATGCCTGATGGAAATATAACCGATTCAAGTAAGACAATGAAATTTAAATTCCTAACTCGAAGACTTACCGTAAATTCGGAACGCGTACTTCAGCTTCAGAGGCAGTGGAGCCATTTCGGAAAACACAGAAAACATGTCTAGAAAGTCGTCAAATGTCAGATTTCCTCTACCGTCCTCGGAGAATACTTCACAAATTCGTCTTCGAAATGGATTTTCCTGGAAAGAGAATTTAGAAATTTTTTTTTCTCAGATTGACATCCTGCTTACCCTCAATTCTGGCATTTTTTCTATTTCTTCGAAAGTCAGTGTTACTATGGCAGGACGTGTCCCTTGCATATTGGTTGGGACTTTTTGAGGATTCAGAGCATAAAATCGCTTATATAAGCGAATTATGTCTTTCCTCGTAAAAAATGTGCAGTCCTAAAATAGAAAACAATTTCATCCCATATAAGACTAATTCAAAAACATACTAAAATGCAAAAAATGCCTAGCTACAGAATATTATTGTTGGACTAGGCGCATTGAAATAGTCTTCAGTAATAATAAATTTCGTCTGAAATGATCTAAGCCGGCCACATGATTCGACTTCTGCTATCTCAATTTTAGTTAAAAATATGCCAAAATTGCTACCGCAGCAAAAGAATCTTGTTAGATTTTTAAGACCAAATTTTCTACGAATAAGCATTGATTGCAATAACATGATGTACAAGATTGCGTTTATCTGTCAAAAAACTAGAATACAGAGAAGATAAACGATAAAAAAGCGAGATCATTTGATGGCCTAAATTGGTCACACAATGCTTCTGAGCTAAGAAATTCGGACTAATAAGACCATAAGATTGGCTTGACTATGAGAATTCATAATAAAGGTGGTAAGTTAAAAAAAAACAAATTTCTACCTGGTATTCATCCAACTGCTCTCGGCTGAACACCGCTCCCTTCGAAAACAAATTCAGATCAGACAATGAACTTCCATGATTTCCCATTTGTGTGTGCGAAAAACGACCAGGGCTACTTAACCTTGAAATATAAATTCTCCCTTTGAAACAGCAAATATATGTACATTTACAAAAAGATGCTAAAGAGAAAAAATGGAAATGGCACGGGTAAAGTGCAAAAAATCAAACAAAATTCAGATTAGATTTTTTTCGATAAAAGATGCATGAAATGAGATTTTCGATGTTGGAAATAAAAATTCTATTCCTAAGTGGATATAACAAGAAGGAATTAAAGTAATAAACATGTACATGAATAAATAAATAAATAGGTAGATAAATAAAAACGTTGATAAAATAGTCAAATGGATGAAAATCTGAAAATCTGCGGAATCTACAAATAGGCTGGAGAATCTCAGAGAAAATTCAAAATCTGCAACGAAATCCCAAATTTTAGCTGTTCAAAGCAATTGCAGCTGGCTTATCGACAACTGGTAATAGGAACCCCCAAAGTAAGGGGGGGGGCAATGTTTGGCAGTAAGTGGTGTCAGAGAGTTAGGATCGATACGCTACAACAACAAGGGCGAGGTTTAAAGCCTAGAGCCGGCCAGCCAGGAAGTCACAACCAGCCGCATTTCCCCCATGCCCCCCCCCTCCACCTAGCGGCTGGGTGCCTGAAGACCTGCGGCTGTCATTGCTGAGGGCAATGCTTTGTCATGCAGGTATTCATGACCAATGGGGCAGGGAAGCAGTCTGAGGACTCATTAGAAAAATCCCAAGGCAGTAAAATTGGCTCATCGTGCATTTGAAATTTACTGCATTTTCAGTTGCTTAGAGAAAGTGGTAATCGTCATTTGCTTCACTTTTATTCAGTGGTCACAAAAAGTACAAAACTTACTAAGACTTTAGAACAGATGTCTACACTTCTCAGGTCACATGGTATAACAACACAATCTAATTTGGCCTCATCATCTCAAAATTTAGTGATGAAGCCTTAATTAGAATTCTAAAATCTTGGTTCCATCCAGGTACATGTATACTGCGCCATTAGGGGACACATATAAGAGGGGACATATCGCAGGATTTCTCGCAAAATTTTTTGAAGTGGTTTACCTAGACAGAAATGAAAATTTGTTCCGGCCTGTAAATATTTAGGAATTAATAACAAAACTATGATTCTCTCTGGATCCTGTTGTCGTTTAACCTATCACTGCCGAAAAGTTTTTAAAGCTCCAAAAATGTGTGGTGAAAACATGCCCAGATCTCATTCTCTAGTGGGTTCAGATCCTCTTGCAAAATTACTTCCCATGTTATTGCAGGGAGTCAGAAATATCAGCATCAAGCAAGCGGCTCTGACAAGGGAAGTTCACTTATTCGAAATGGCGATTCAGAAGGAGATCTATACCAGTGGGAGCTCAAAAAGCTGATCTCAGATATACCTTCTATATCTGCGATGCGTCGTTCTGAAAATAGTTATGAGCTTTTCTAAAGCCAAATTTTCGTGCATTTTGAGTCGCAAAATCATGATAATCGCTACACAAAAGTGTGAAAGCTTAACACGTTGACGACAGTGTCGCGCAATGGTGCGCGACAGGCAGTCTGTCCCTGTGGACGATGTCGCGCAATGGTGCGCGACACCCTAAATACCAGTTCGAATGTGCACAATGGTTCCAATTTGTGTTCACATGATCAGTTTAGGCTTGGAAGTTTTTCATGTTGGCCCCGCCCCTCTTTTGGCAAACTCCGCCCACTCCGTTGCCCTTTACAAAAAATTTTTTTCGTTCTGAAATCGCATAGAAAAGCTCGTAGATGACTGGGGAACCTCAAATAATCTTGATTTTGACCCCGCCCCCCATTATGCAGGCCCCGCCCCCTGAGTGGCAAGCTCCGCCCACTTTTCAAAAATGCCGGAATTTGCACGAATTCATTGATTTTGAGCAATTTCCAGCATTTTTGAAAAGTGGGCGGGGCTTGCCAAAAGTGGGCGGAGCTTCCCCGCCCACTTGCATTTTTGTACCTCACGCATAGATGCATACACACATATATGCAGCCAGCTGTGAAAATGTCCGGAAACGGTTCGTCCACAGGGACAGACGTCAAAAAAACAGCTCGTCGTCAACGTGTTAAGCAAACCTCCTAGTAAGCATTGTAGGTCTAATTCGACTTCATCCGAACGTTTTCGAGTGTTTTCCGACCATGTTGTTTATTCACAGGCCGTCATTTGCTTCCTTTAAGTCACACTTCCGTTATAAGTACAAAAAGCCAATAACCTCCATCTAGAAGAATGCGTCGCAGATATTGAAGATATATTTGAAGACATCGTTTTACATTCTATCCACCGGTAGTTTTCAAAAAGTTTCCGACGCGACGCGTCTTTCTAGATGGAGATTATGGGGTTTTGTATACATAATGGAAGTGTGATCTAGGAAGTACATAAATGACGAACTGTGGATGAACAACCTGGTCGAAAACACTCGAAAGCGTTCGCATGAACTCGATCTAGACCTAAAATGCTTACTAGGTGGTTTGCTTAAGCTTGCACACTTTTGTGTAGCGATTATCATGATTCTACGACCAAAATGCACGAAAATTTGGCTTTAGAAAAGCTCATAACTTTTTTCAGAACGACGCATCGCAGGTAAGGAAGGTATATCTGAGATGATCAGCTTCTTGAGCTCTATCCACTGGTATAGATCTCCTTCCGAATCGTCACTTCGAATAAGTGAACTTCCTTTGTGAGATTCTGAATGGTCTTGCACCGATATATAGATCACTCCAAAAGTCTTTTCCTCTTATTCAAGGCCTTTCAATATTTTGAAGATGGCTTCGAAGACTGAACTATTCAAGGTCTCGTATCCTGAAAATAGAAGAAGGCTCACGCTTTGCGGCAGTGTTATAGTCGCATTTATTTACTAGCCTTAGACCCAGAACCAAAAAATCGTCCCACTGGGTTTCGGAACCCACTTCGCTGATGTTATACGGCCATAGAAAATGGCAATCCTCCCCCCATATACAAAGTTCTGCTGTCGTCCTAATTTTGGCTTTCACTGTACTGCGGTAGTGCAGTCATAAGTGTTCGGAATTAGCAGGAGGCAAATGAATCTCTTATTTTTACTTATGGTACAACCATTGTTAGTCTAACTAGAAGTTGCTTTCAGAGAGAAGACGTTGTATCAGAAATCATCGCCACATCCCTTTCGAACAAAATCATGCTACAATCTATTACATTTACTTGTACATGCTTAGCACTGTCATTAGAGATTCCCAGTGCAACTTTGCGAATTTCCATTGGATCTAAAGAGAGATAAACGACTCTGAAAAAAGTGGCGATACTATGATAATCAGCGTGGGTTGTGGCACGCCACACCTGGGGGGCCCGTTCTGCGAGGGTCAGAAAAGGGGTGGGGTCGTTATCAAGGTGCTACGAGGGGTCGTTATTAAGGTGATACGATGTTAAAAATAGCATGATATTCGTTAAAACATGATAGGCTCATTATCTACAACTTCAGTGTTTTCTACCATCGTATAAATCAGTAAGCATTGAAAGAGTCCTAAAAGCACAAGAGCATCATTTCCGTGATTAGCATGACAAATAATCCCTATGTTTCAAACAGCAAAATCTGAGTTTCTAAACAATGGAGAATCCTAGCGAGGTGATCATTTTCGAACATCTCTTTGTTTCAGAGGTGAGTTAACTAATTCTACTTGCTCCATGTTCGACTGTCCATAAATCTTGGCATAGTTGCAATCTTCTTGTTAGTTGCTTGAGCGAAGTCCAAGATTGGTACAGAACTTTAGTCTGTTATTCTGTGCGATAAACTTCTGTACCAATCTTGGACTTCGCTCAAGTAACTAACAAGAAAATTCTACTTGCACTTAATACAAAGAGCTACTACTTTTTTGCACACATAGGAATCTCACTTTGAATAACCTCCAAACAATGGAAGCAAAAACAAGCCAAAATCTCGTTCGTCCCATTTTTTGCTTTGAGTATCTCAGACTACCAATCAGTCTCAAATCACTTCTCTCAGAATTATATTGTAGCCACCTTCTCTCATTATTCACGTAGTAGCGCAGACATACAATACCGCTCGTAATTTGTGAAGAAAATTGGCGGCGGCCGCTTAACTCAGGCGGGGGCCGCCGCAATTAGGCGGCAAGCGCCGCGCCATGCGACAAAGTTAGGCGGGGTGCCTAACTTCGGCGGCCGCCGCCTAACTTTTTTAGAAATCGTCGAAAGACCTTATCTTGACTCAAAGTTTATGAATTCTATATTTGAGGGTACCATTCAGCTCAGCTCGGCGAGGCGCATCTTCCAACATATGGAGGTGCCTAGTCATGGGATATAGGTTTTTTTCTTGGAATTTTAGTGTAAATGTATTATTCAGTGTGCTTATCCCAGAGGCCAAATTCTGCTGCGCACTGCAGAAATACGGTAGGTATAATTTAAGAGCTCATTCTGCACGGATATGTGTAAAATTGGACTCTTCTCGGCGAAGTATGACGGGTCCCAAAATGCAGGAAGAGAAAGGGGAATGGCTGGAAATCGCATGCGAAGCGCATATCGTGAAATACCGCGCGTGCTGTGGTACAACACCACCCATAAACCGGGAATTTTGCATTCCGGAAATATCGCGAAATTCCCGGAATATCGCAGATTACGCAGCGCCATAACTTCCTTCGGAATGAATATATTCTAAACCGAAAGCAGCATTGTGTTCAGCTCGTCAAGACAAATCTTGCGACGTACATCATGTTCTCTATATCTCGTTTTCAGTGTTCACAAATTCTTCTGCGGGTCCTTTCACAAGGAATCGCAGCGCCTATCCAACATAAAAGATACCATTGAGTACAATCGATAGTGCTGCTCTTGTAGATTATAGTGCGCTAGCAAGTAACCGCATACTTTTTTCCAAAAGATACAGAAGCGTTGGTGAATTCTGGAAAAATCACCGTTTCCAAATTTTCTCACCGTAACTTTCTTTGGAGTGAATATTTTCTGAATCCGAAAACAGCATTGTGCTCAGCTCATCAAGGCGAACCTTCCGATATACAGAATTACCTTGATGTATCGAATCAGTATTCT